CACAACATTCCATGAGGGTTAATAGTTATATACTTTATAATATTAAATCATCCTCCCACAACCTTTCTAAAAGAACGTGAAAAATTTAAAAAATAAAAAAGGAAAAGAGAGCATAAGGAAATCCTAATTGTGGGTCCTAACAATATTTACTAGGTCTAAAAGGGCATGCGTAGAAACTTCCCACAAGCCAAATCTAGCACCACCCTAAATTTACTTTCGAGTGGTCCAACTTTTCATTAGTGACGCTTATGCCCCAACTTTTTTGTAAGGGAAAAAGGTTCAAAATCATTTATGTATTATTTAACAACAGCAACCACCCAGTATAATTCCACAAGTGGAGTCTGGGGAGGGTAGAATGTACGCAGCCTTACCCCTACCCTGGAAGGGCTGATAGACCCTCGGCTAAAGAAGGTGAAAGAAGCCCTGGTAGCAAGTAATAGCAAGACAAATAATTAGAAAACTAAATCGAAGATAACAATAGAGAATATGAAAGGGGGATCGATAACAAATAATAGCAAAATAATATATTTAGAAAACTAAATTCAAGGCAGCAAACGAGAATATGAACGAAGTACTACTAGCAAACTACGAAATTACCGATGGCAAGTAATAACGGAATGAGACATGCAAATATAGCAAACTAAGAAAAAAAGGGTACCGTACTAGCACTAATACTATCGAACTAGAGAAGACAAATGGAAACACACGACTACCTACTAACTTTCTATCTTAATCTTCAACCTCCATACCCTTCTATCTAGGGTCATGCCCTCGGTTAGCTCAAGTTGCGCCATGTCCCGCCTGAACCCCTCTCCCCCCCCACCTCCCAAGGCCAACTTCTCGCATCTCCTGACTGGGGCATCTGTGCATCTCCTCTTAACATGCCCGAACCATCTCAACCTTGCCTCACGCATCTTTGCCTCCACAGGGGCCACTCCCACCTTGTCCCGAATAACTTCATTCCTAATTCTATCTAACCTAGTATGCCCATACATCCATCTTAACATCCTCATTTCTGTCTGTTGTACATGGGAGTTTTTGACTGGCTAACACTCTATCCCATATAACATAGTCGGTCTAACCACTACCTTGTAGAACTTACCCTTAAGTCTCAACGGTACATTCTTATCACACAAGACACCGAAAGCGAGCCTCCACTTCATCCACCCTGCTCCGATTCGGTGTGTGACATCCTCATCTATATCCCCATCCTTCTGAATTATAGATCCCAGATACTCGAAACTCTCTCTCCTGGGAATGACTTGCGTATCGAGTCTCACATCCCCGTCCGCCTCCTGGGTAACACCGTTGAACTTGCACTCCAAGTATTCTATCTTGGTCCTACTCAACTTGAAACCCTTAGACTCCAGAGTATATCTCCAGACCTCCAGCCTCTCGTTAACGCCACCTCGCATCTCATCAATCAGGATTATGTCATCCGCAAATAACAAGCACCAAGGCACCTCCCCTTGAATGTGACACATCAAAGAATCTATCATCAGGGAAAACAAAAATGGGCTAAGTGTTGATCCCTGATGCAACCCCATCTCAATCGGAAAGTAATCAGAGTCTCCTCCTGCTATCCTAACCCGTATCTTAGCTCCATCATATATGTCCTGAATCACTCTAATATACGCTACAAGCACTCTCCTAGCCTCCAAACATCTCCATAGAACCTCTCTTGGGACTTTGTCATAGGCTTTCTCCAGGTCAATGAATACCATATGCAAATCCTTCTTCACTACCCTATACTGTTCCACCAATCTCCTCACAATGTGAATGGCTACAGTAGTCTACCGTCCCGGCATGAAACCAAACTGGTTCTCGAAAATGGACACACACCTCCTCAACCTCCCTTCAATCACCCACTCCCACATTTTCATCGTATGGCTTAACAACTTGTTACCCCTATAGTTGTTGCAGTTTTGGACATCCCCCTTGTTCTTGTCCAATGGAATCATCGTACTCTGCCTCCACTCTTCGGGCATCTTCTTCGTCATAAAAATGACGTTAAACAACCTAGCAAGCCATTCCAAGCTCTCCTTACATACGCATTTCCAGAATTCCACCGGGATCTCGTCCGGCTCAGTCGCTCTGCCCCTACTCATCTTGCGCATAGCCCCTACAACCTCCCCCACTCGTATGCGTCTACAATACCCAAAATCTCGCTGCTGCTCCGAGTACTCCAACTCCCCCAGCACAATGCCCATATCTCCCTCTTCATTCAAGAGTCTATAAAAGTAAGACTGCCATCTCTGCCTAATCTGTGCCCCCTGCAATAAAACTCTTCCCTCCTCGTCTTTTATGCATCTCACTTGGTCCAGATCCCAGGCCTTCCGCTCCCTCACTTTCGCTAGCCTGTACAACTTCTTGTCCCTGTCTTTATCCCTAATTTCTTCGTATAAACGACTAAACGCTGCGGTTTTAGCCGCAGCAACCGCCAACTTTGCCTCCTTCCTAGCCTTATTATACCCCTCCCTGTTAGCACTCATCTGCCCCTCGTCTATACTCTCTACTAGCTTCAAATATGCCGCTTTCTTGGCTTCCACTCTCCCTTGAACCTATTTGTTCCACCACTAATCCCCTTTATGTCCACCAGAAAAACCCTTTGAGACCCCTAACACCTCTCTCGCCGCCTCTCTAATACAATTTGTTGTCATAGACCACATACAACTCGCGTCCCCGCTACTCCTCCAGGCCCCCATAGCCAGCAACTTCTTTCCCAACTCCTGGGCATTGTCCTTAGTCAATGCACCCCACCTGACCCTAGGTATATCAGACATAGCCCTCTTCTTCCTCGTCCACCTGATCTCTACGTCCATAATCAAAAGAATATGTTGGGTCATAAGATTCTCACTCGGGATGACCTTACAGTCCGTGCATATACCTCTATCATATTTCCGAAGAAGTAGATAATCAATCTGGGTCTTGACCACCGTACTCCGAAAAGTTATCAGGTGCTCCGCCTTCTTCGGGTAACACGAGTTAGCGATCAACAACTTAAAAGTTTTAGCGTACTCCAGCAGTGAAGTACCTCCTCCACTTCTATCTCTAAAATCGAAGCCACCATGCACACCATCATATCCCCCAGACGACCTCCCAACATGGCCGTTAAAATCACCCATATAATAAGCTTCTCGGTAGACGTATACCCCATACCAACCAATCCAAATCTTCCCATAAGCGTCTTTTAACCTCCTCGTCCAAACCCACATGAGGCGTGTAAGCACTAACTACGAACATAGTATACCCTCCCACGACTATCTTAATGGCCATCAACCTGTCATTCACCCTCTTGACCTCAACCACTAGCTCTCTTAGATCCTTATCAACTAAAATGCCTACCCCGTTCTTCCCTCTCACCCTCCCTAAATACCACAACTTAAACCCATCAGCCTTCCGAGCCCTGTTCCCCACCCATCTAGTCTCCTGGACACAAGATTTGTTAATCTTCCTCTTATGGAGAATCTTTGCTAACTCTATAGACTTCCCCGTTAGAGTCCCTATATTCCATGACCCCACTATTAACCTAGAATGTGCCTTACCCCATGCCACCCTTACCCTCTACCCCCCGCTCCCCCCGGAGGACATGCCCTCACTCTATCATAGCTCGGTGCGGCCACAAGACCAGCACCAAGCTACAAAATGATAGACTAAAAAGGAATAGACTAAATAGAAACCTATAGGTACACAAGGTGCTAATAAGGGATCCGACTAAGCAGAACAAACTATGTATTAGCTATAACACTAAAGTGATAGACAGAGACAGATATAAGCAGGCAATTCTAACTAAATATAATTTAAACAGGATACTGTAGATGTCAAAGATACAAGCAAGCAAAAAAGAAAAAAAATAAAGATAAAAATACCGATACCACGAATACCAGATATAGAATGAAAGAACCTGGAGTAAGTTTTTTTGAAGTGTGTCGGATCTGCTCAAGAGCACTGACAGTCCTGCTGCGTCCTGCCGGAAAGTTGTTCAGAAGTCGCCGGAATTAATGAAACTTGCCGGAAATCTGTACACACGCTGAAAAATAATCTGTCCTCACCGGGAAAATACTGCACCTGTCCAAAGACACAGAACGCACCCCCCCACACACACAAAGGGGGAGAGAGAAAGGGAAAGAGAGAGGGGAAGAAGATGGAGCAAGGGTCGCTGGAAAATGCAAAACAAGAATAGTCACCTGAAATCAAGGGTTGCCGGACTTGCAGCAACTCGCCTGGAACACGCACGTCTCGACTCCGATGGCGAGAAGGGCTAGAAGCTACCGGAAAAGAAGAGAAAGAAGAAAAAAGAGAGAGAAAAAAGAAAGAGAGGGAGAGAGAGGGGACAGAAAGAGAGAAGTGAACTTACCTGTAACAGCACGTGCGGCGGTGACGGCGAAGCAGCAGATGCGGAAGTGTAGCTACTGGGGGTTACCGTTGCAGGGAGGGGTGGGGTGGGGGATTAGAACGTTAGGCAGTAAACGTTATTTAAACTTGCTTAAATTTTCTCTTCTTCATTTTTTCAAATTTTGAGAATAAAAATTCAAATTATCTCTTAACTTTTGACTATACTTTAACATTACTCATCCGCTAGGAGTCAAGACAAAAGAGTTCTTTTTCTGACAAAGAATAAAATTATTTTCTCCGTCCCAATTTAAGTGAACATGTTCAGCTTTCGAGAGTCAAACGAATTATATTTGAAATGTAATTTTTTCATACACCTTTTAATTATTTAAATTATTAATTATTCTAACTTATAGTATTTTTACTTAGTATTTAAATATATAAATTTTATTTTGAAAATTTAAAAAAATTTCATATCCAAATATATGGTTAAAACTGAAAAAAAATTAAATTTAAAAGCAAAAAAGATCAAATAAATTGAGATAGAGGGTGTAATAGAAAGCAAAATTATTCAATTTATGATGCTACATGGTAAATTTGACTATTTTATTCTTGCCCTCACCGTGTTCCTATTTTTGTCTTTTTCCATTTGTCACTTACATATCTACCCTTCACTTTCTACATCTTTTGCCATTTTTTCCCACACTGCTCTCACGAGCTCTCTTTAACAAGGGTGTTAACATTCACACAAAAAATATACATCAAATTATTAAAAAAATGGCAACCGGCGCTGCCGGAGACGGATTATTCCGGGGAGTCTTCGACGGATGTATCTCCGGCCACGATACAGGGATCCAAAGCAGGCCTTACCACCGTAACTGTGGCTGTGCACTTCATAAATCCCGTGGAAATTGCTCTCATTCTTCTCCTTATATGAACGTATCTTACCCGATTCGACGGTCGTGGAGCGAAAGCTGCCTCGCGTTGGCCGCTGCTTCTTCCGCCGCTTCCTCCGGCCATTCCTCGCCGTGTTCTTCTCCTGCAGTTGCCACCGTGGACGGCGGTAAGAAGAATTTGGTCGGTTCTACTACTGAAGATCATGACGATGTCGTTTTGTTTAAGGTTTGTTGAAGTCATTTGACTCCTTTTTTTTTTTTTTTTGTAATCTATGATTTAATTC